ATATTTTAATCATACAATCAACTATTCTTTAATAATACATGTGCCGATTAACTACATATATGATAAATTAGTGAGATTTATTACTCGAATAGTTGTACTGAAAGTTGTCGAATACAAGAGAACTACAAACTCTGTCAGAGATCAAATGTAATTTCTGACAAAAATGAATAATCATATATGTCATTTTAGTTACATGTTTGTCGAATGAAGTATATATCAAGTTATATTTTATTCACTTGGAGTCTTTGATGTATGTTTAATAACGCAGATATTTTCTACAATATATCTCTCAAAATATTTAACGGTAAAATGCCAAATATGAGTATGTTTATTCGTTATTATACAAAATGATCAAGTTTTCCAATGATTTTTTTTATTTCTTTCAGTTGACTTTTTCGATTAGTACAGCAATCTACATAATTTAACCGGAAGTTGATCATTATTTTTGAGGGTAGTTAAGAAATTCAAAAATTTGTTAGAGAAGCTCTATGAGTTGAATACACAAAAACTGCTTGTTAAATTATGACCTTTTTTATTGTAGAGTTAGTATTTTTCTTTTTTTTGTAATCATATTCTACTCGACATAGGTGTTTGAATTATTCACAGTAGGTAACGAAACGAGAGTTCCAAAAACGGAAATCTCTTTGTTTGCTTCAATCATGGTAATATATCTTTTTTCATCAAAAAAAACTACCGAAGGCAAAATGCTGACTAATTAGGATGTTGTTTATTTTTATCGTTGATAACTCTAACCAACGTCTAGAGTTTGATTGCTACACCATTATGCCCTGTTTGACTCAGGAATATCAACGATTATAAGTTAAGGAAATCTATATCAACAAAGTGAAGCAAAGTTAGGAATAATAACAAGAACGATGGAAATTTAAGTACAAAAGCAAAAGAAACAAATCAAAATTAATTGGATAAACATTATATTTTCGAAGCGAAAGGTACTGAGTTCAGGTCTCGCTGTGAACAACACTACCGGGATGTAGACACATCAAGTTGAGAAGTTTCAAAATGAACGGGACCTGCATTGTTTTTTACTCTTAACTATAATCTAGATATACTATCAAAGCATTAGCTTTAACCAGGTACGTTGTTTAAAGTTAGATGTACGATTAGGTGTGAAAAAATCTTAGTATTCGTTTAATGAACTTATTGAATGTGATTGCTACTAAGATTATGAGTTTAAATGTTAATTCTTAGTTGTCCATGCAGTGGGAGTTAAATCAAAGGATACCAGATAAACATACTCCTTTAATGCTTATTATACAAGACAAACAATATCTAACTAGTGCAGATCAACACATAACCCCTTTAAGAATATTTAATTTTATATGCCTGCGTGATATTCTAAACCCTTATTACGAAGTTGGTTTATGTTTAGTACCCATACAGCCAGAAGCTTTTAGCCTTTCCTATTAAAGGTATTACCGTTGTGGTGTTCTACTGATATGACAGATATAAGAAGTATGTATCACTAATCGGAAGTCCAATGTCTGGCGCCAGAAAGTTGGTTAGAACAAAGAGAAGAAAATGGTTGTTGTGGAAACAAAGGAATAATGAAGTCTGAGACGATTGTTTGACATTTTGTAAACGAAGTATTTACTATGTGGTTTACAGATTTGACTAAGACATACTGTAGTTTTGTGTTAAAATATATTTGGTTGTGCACGCCTGTGTTCTCGTACACTACAGAATGTGTAAATATCTGAAGGAACGCTTACACATCTTGAACCCGATCAAGAAGCACGATTTAGATGCCATATATTAGGTTAGTGTGCGATTCCCCATACTTGAAATTAGATTTTGTTTGATTTTAACAGTAAATAGCTTAAGATTTTGACTAAAATGTACTCAAGGGACAATCAGCACAGTTTGATTCATCATTTAAACTAACTTAAGTATGAGTTCTCTCTAGCAGATATAGACAACAGTTTGTTCATAGGTGCGAGTTTATTCTTGTCTTATTGAACCAAAATGTTATCAAGTTAACGTTTATAACGAAACCGTTCGTTTGTCTCACAATCTCCAACCCATTAAGTAAAGACATTTATTTCATTGTTATTAAGCACTCAGGACAATTAGCCATAATGTATTTATACTCCAGGGATATGATTAGTCAATGATCTTTTTAACCTGCTCCACTTCACAAAGTTTTTCACGACCAGGAACCCTTACGAATTTGGATATGCCGCATATCCAAGTCATCGGCACAGTTCGGATTCATTTTACAGCTTTTAAACGTGAAGTTGTCACAGACGGATTTATTTTCACTAGAATGTTTGCTTTCTTAAAGAAAAATTAGGGATTTAATAAGACTTAACCCGAACCTAGCTTAGAGAACTGCCATTTATCTTAACACCCTTTGGTAAGTGTAAGCGATCCTGGTGCATAAACTTTAATTTCATCACTGGGTTTTGTCTATTTGCACTACACAAGTAGGAATAACTCAAATAAAGTATCCTGAATGTAAACCAACCCCAAATGTATTCAAGGGATAATCGACAGTTACTCAATTTTATAACTTCAAAAGAAATAATATTATCAATCTGAGAAAACCTAAAGTGTCGAGTGGGTTAAGCATACAAAGCAAAGGATTCTGAAAAACTCACCCTCACCTTAGACCAAACCGTGTGTGTTGCGTTTTTGCCTATGCCATTATCTCTATTACAATAAGCTAGGAAAATACACACAATAGGAAGCCAGATAACTGATTACCAGTAACCGTACTATTTTAGACCCATACTTTATATGATTATACGAACAAAATATAATATCAAGACAAACCACAGTGCTTCAGTATATACATAACTAAGGCATATTCGATTCAAACTAGACTAATGGTTAATCGACTGTAATTATTGAATGATAAAAGAAAAGAGCAAGTAAGTGAATCAAAATTTGGTGTGTAGTTAGATTCGAATAAAGAATAAAATCAAGTAACTGCTGGATCAATAACCAAGCAATTAGACAAAGAATAACTTCAAGTTGCATATATCTTGTCTCGACTCAGCAGCACGCCTAGTAGCAATCAAGTAATGATGAATAACGAAGTTCTTGCTGGCAGGATACTGATGGAAAATAATTGAACACTGTACATGCCACTTAATCAAGTCACTTTGACAGATAACAAGCAGGTGATTGGATTATGTAGGAAACGCTAGGAATAATGAGATTATAGAGGTCAAATTATTTCCCTGACCTAGAGTTTTCAACTACCCTTAAGGCAATTACTTCTATGATAGTTCTAATAACTTGACTCAGCTATCATACACTAAGTCATCATCTGAACAAAAGAATTTTTTAATTTGAATCAACCGTCGGACTAAAAATCAATGTATGACAAAAAAATTATGTTATGTTATAGGATGATTTAATTTACATAGATATGGTAAAATCGCATATTTAATGTGAACAATAAATTTGGATTTTTATTCATTAGAATAGAGAGAACAAGATTTTCCATTTTGACAAGTGTTCACTATATTCCACAGGTCACTTTTTAAACGATTCTTGAGGTCAATGACATGCAAAAATAGGATGGAGATCATAACTATCTTTTGTATAGGAAATAAGATTCCGATTTAGTTCCAGTTATGTCATCCTTTAAAAAGGTAGCTAGGAATTTCTAGTTAGATTTCATAGAAAGTACATATTCTGGGCAACACACTACCAGACATTTTCCACCTTTGCCCAACTATGTTGTATCTTACTTAATCACTCCGAGACAATATCTAATCTGGATCGAATATACATCAGTTCAAGTATCCACATTGCATCAACACAAAAAAAGGAAATTACCATGATGAGAATCAGAGAGGTTGAAACGATAACAATAACATTGCTGATAGTGAAAGACAAAGTGAAGGCAAACAATTTAGTTGGATGGGACAAATTAACTCGATGGCTCACATTTTGGTTTGAATGTCGGTAATTTTCCCAACTTACTCCCACACCAAAAATCAAAATATGTAGGGTTAAATCATCTTTATTACGTAAAAACAAAAACTTAGATATTTTTTCCGAGAAAACACCTCTATGTTACGATCTCTGAGTGCGTAAAACCAAAACTACTAGAATGCTTTGTAATCACAGTAAATACTTATCACATCTTTAGTTACTTGTTTGTAGAAGATTGACAATTCTATACACTCAGCTACCAGGTGACTTTATGTATGTAGGTAGTCATATATACATCAGACGATGCAAAGTACTCAAATTTTCAGTGTTATATTAAATATTTTTCTCCGAAAAGAAAATAAGTCCTTTTAAGATACACAATCAGCACGCTGGATGTTTAAGATATAGACAAATTCAAGGGGAAATTAAGTGGCAGACACAAATTAAGTAGTCTTTAAGGTCACAGTTCGTTCATCCAACTTCAAACAGATTTCCATCTACAGAAAAGTGTACAGCTGAGCAGAGAAACGCTACAAACAGTGGACTTTCAGTATTTACGTAACAGTACAGTTCATGGGTTTAATCTAAGATTATTGGTCTCGACCCATCGAATTTATTTGAGCTCGCAGAATCTTAGATGTCATATTTACAGCAGAAACAAACACAGGCATACAACGCATTATGAGCTAAATGTTATGCTGTGCATTAGTGTGAAACCTCTATAATTAATATTGTCATAAGTTAAATATTTACCTATTAGCTATTCAATTATGCAGTAAAACCCTAATTCGTTCTTTGACACTGAATTGGAGTATGATCTTTTCATTTTTGGCATCCTAGATGAGTGGAAAACAATTTAGTTTAATTTCATAAAGTTTGTTTCATTTATTGCAAAACGTCACTGACTTAATGACATATCAAGACACAGGTAGAGTCAAATAATTACTTAATACCTTACTTCAATATACCGCTAAGAACTAATTATATCTGAATTACACTTTTTCGCGAGCAAAAACATGTCTACGTTAATGACACGAAATAACGATTCTTAAAAGCTGTACTTTTGGAATATTAACATAGATCAGTCTAAGAAAGCTAACACTAGATAAAAATCTGAAAACAATGACAAGTGAGAACAGTAGTTTATATCGAATTAATGAGATTCTGTATAAAAAATAACGTGCAATCAAATCACTGACAGATATCACAGATTTTAATGAAAACTGTACAATAAATTGAGACAAAAGCTCAAAGGACATCTGCTTAACCTGATAATTATTGTGCAAGGGATACACATTTCTGATAGTTATCATCAATTTTATTTCGTGAAATACTAGGGTCGGTTTCATTATGTGAATGTGAAGATAACAGGGATACTGGGTTGGATCCACGTTTTCGATTACGTTTGCGATGTCGAGGTTTTGAACGCTTAGATATTATATTCGTCGGTTTGAGATTGTCTTGTTTGCATGCTTTATTGTCAAGAGCTTTATTAACACTAGAGTGAATTTCCGTAGATTCATCATCTCCTGCCAACTGGGATGCTAGGTCAGCCTCGAAACCATTTGATATTAAATACTTCAAACGATCGAAGTAGCGAGACCTTGCTTCTATTTCCCAAATACGATTAGACCTTTCCAACCTGCTTGCTGTAGAATATGTATAAAGATTGTATACAGCAGAGATAGGGTTCCCCCTAGGAAAATGCACATGTTTTGGACCATCTAGTTTTCTTTCATTGTGAGAATCACAGGTATGTCGAGCGTCGTTTTCACTGTACAGATGTTTATGGTTTAAGTCATTTACACTGTATTTGAACGACCATTTCCTGTTGACTTCATAAAGTTGTTTGCTTATGAATTTTTTGGGTTCGGTGGAACATGCCTTCGTAGACAAATGATTGTGAGAACCTTCTGGATTTGGCTTTACTATATACAGCTCTGGAGTGTGGATCTGAACAGAAAAAGTCTGTTCCGGTTCATCACTTTCATCTGAGGAGCTTGAAAGCTGGACAGATCGAAAGAAATCAGATTGACCCTGAGGGATTATTGAACGAATAGTTAAATCGAAGTCTAACCCATCTTTCCGCTCCGGAATACTAAAGTTGCCACTACAGTATAGCAAATCGAACAGACGACGTCCATGAGAAGGGCAGACCCAATACTGTCTTTTGATACAGAATTTGGTACTGACTACAGTTATATGATGATAACTAGTCTTTATATGCAAATGCAGAAATGATGCTAAGTTGGTCGCTTTCGTGTCTAGTTTTGATGGGCATTTACGATTTAGATTGAGGCCACGTAAGACTGCTTGAATCGCTCTCGTAAGGCTATGGAAGGGAACAGAAGGGATTGAACTTTTCCGAGGGCTTAGTGCCACAACTGAATTTGACCGAAGTTCGTTGGCAGCAAGTTGGTGATAAATGCGTCTGAACCAGCAGTCCCTACACTGAAGTAGGTCACACAATATTTGAAGGTCAGTGGAGGGAAGAAGCGAATGTGAACCAAAATGAACTGTGGGTCCGACTGACCAGTGTTCTGCCATCTACAAACGAAAAGAATAAGCAAAATGGAACACTGAATAGGAACTAATTGGAAACCAATTAAAGGTATTTTAGGAATAAATATTCTCTTAAAAAACAAGTCACAAGTATTCTGAAACGTATATGTATTCATGAGTATGCAGTTTTTAAATTTTTGCTAGATATCCTGAGATCTTGAGGACACACTTTAGTACGACCGTGAATTTCATACATCAAAACATAGCGTGTGGGTTTTAGTTACTAAGGCTAGTGTTATGTCTTGTTATTGGGGTTTAGTACTGACTACGGTGTTACGAATCTAAGGACAAAAATGATTAAGCCACTCTAAAACAATTGTTTTTTTCGGAACTGACAACAATCAATTATACCCAACGCATGAAACCTCGGTGGTAACATTAGAAGAGATTTTCGCCTTTCCAATGGATTTTGACTATTCTTGCGACAGTCTTAGCATCTAGTGACCACAGTGCAGCTTGATAGAATAGGTACTAAAGAAACGTGACACTAGTTATTACTCTGTGACCAATATTTACTCGACGATAAACTTCGAATAACCCTTCATAAATAAACGACAATGACTGGTTTAATTAGTCAAGATAAATTTGATTGCAAACAAACGTACTTCACTCTTCTCCTTTCTGATTCATAAATGCGGCCATTGAATAAAAAACATGACTAACTGGAGTGTTCGACCATATTAGTCACTTAAAATAGTTGTTGCCTCGTTATGGTTTCCTGTATATACCGTTTGCAAAAATGGATTACCTATTGAGTTAATGAACACAAGTTTGAAATATCTGACATGTTTTTAACAGTGGAAATGATCAAACACTAAATTTGAAACCGTGACTTTAGAACGTGACACCTGAATCAAACAGTCCATTTTTTTCCTGAGCGATAATGGCGATCAAAACTCCAAAACCATCAGACAGCCATAACGTAGGGTATGGTATAAATGTGCATTAATTTATACTAATCATACCAGCACAGAGAAACACAAGTAACAAAATGAAAAAGAATTCATATGGTGTCTGTGGTAGTGACGTCTTTTGGTATTAGATGGTAAACTGGAGAAAATTTCGGTTGACTAGGAGTCATTTCTACTCCCTTGGTAATGCATCAGCTGTCAAGAAGAATATGGCGACTGTCATTCAACTCCCATCAAAGTTAGGCAAGTAGTGACAAACATAAAGCAGGTTAAAAGATTAGGATGTGATAGTTTACTTTAAAATCCTTCAAGAGTGATGATTAGCAATTACTAGACTCAGTAAAGTTACTAAAGGGTTAGGAAAACAATAGATAGTTTTGGCAAAATATTTCCGACTATTGATCATTTCAAAGGTTTTTCTATATGGTCACCGCACCAAACCGTTTGTTTAGTAGTCTCTTATGATTCAAAGGAATTCAAAAAGCAATGTCTCATATACGAGAGAGTTAGTTGACCAAGTCTTTACTTTCCGGCAGATTATAAAACATCGTTATCAACACTAAAGCGGTTATGTTTGTTAATTTGGTGTGGCTTATGACCTCACTGTTTGAGAAGACTATCTGACATGAACTTGTTGTTAACTCAAAGTAATGAATAGAAGCTGGCCTGGATGAGTTAAATCCAGGAATTATCTGGGTGTAGGTCTGGAATCTAACTGTTAGGCTAGAGAAAGTATAAATTCAAGTTTGAGAGATGAACGCAACTGTGTCAAACTGGTTCCGATTACTGGCAGTCCCTAGTTTATAAGAAACGACAGAAATAATTTAGTGATAACTACGGTTACGAATTACCCTTAACGACTCGCAAATGAAAAAAACATTTAGGGATTGTTGTATTAATGTATAAGGTGCGCTGATCAATGAATAATATGCAGTGATACAATTTTATCGAGTGATAACTGGTCATGAGACCGAATAATTAACATACACCCTAAATGAGCTGGTACCGAAAAAAAGCTGTCCAATAGAACAGGGTTTTTATTCTAGGAAAATGACATGGTCATATGCAGAAAATTTTACTCAGAAACACACGATTAGAAGTCATTTGACAAATAAGCGACTGAAGAATGTTACGACTATAAGTCAATCACTCGCCAAAGTAACGAATATCTAACTATTACGATTAATTCTTGACTCTTTATATCAACTGAAGATACAATAGTTTAAATGTCTAGAAAAACAAGTTCCATAACTATCGAACACGTAAATAGAGATTGAAAAAAAGCTGAGGACTAGTTTGTCTTAGATACTGCTGTAAATATAAAATACTAGACTATCGACAGGTTTCAGAGCACAACTAAACAACCTTATCTTGTGAATGTTTCCAACTTGATCAATCATCCTCATGGTTTGGAGCATTGCATAACATCATTATTTCTAACCCACCAGTTCTAACAAAAATGCAAAATACTTTGATAATAACTACCAAAACTTTGCAAGCCACACGCCATCAACGATCTTTAAGTTGTACGGAGAGTTACGCGCATTACTTGGCAGTGTACTTGCCTCGATGGGTTTCAGTCAGTCAGTCAGTAACAACGTAGAACTTCGTACGTACGTACATCAGTTCGATGGGTTTAACATATACCAAGTTATACAAATTGTTGCCCCGGTTTTGTTTTAGCGAAGGAGTGAATATTCATTAGTACTACGTAATCTCGAGGTAAAAATGAAGTCCAATTGTGATTAGTCACGTTTTCCGAGAAAATGACTTTATTTTTCCCTCAAATAATTCTGCTGCTAGCAACAGATACATGGCAATGTACATATGGTTTTAACAGCTAACCTTTTACGTAAACGGACTTGAAAATAGAATTCCACGAAATTATTGAACGCATAATTTACACAAAATTAAGAAGTTTCCCTCAAACCTCTAAAATTTCTCACCAAACCGAGGAATGCTCTTAGTTCTACTGCACGCCTGCACCTGAAAAAAATACCATCATGGATAATTACTTTGAGTTTTTATTCATTAGAATAGAGAGAACAAGATTTTCCATTTTGACAAGTGTTCACTATATTCCACAGGTCACTTTTTAAACGATTCTTGAGGTCAATGACATGCAAAAATAGGATGGAGATCATAACTATCTTTTGTATAGGAAATAAGATTCCGATTTAGTTCCAGTTATGTCATCCTTTAAAAAGGTAGCTAGGAATTTCTAGTTAGATTTCATAGAAAGTACATATTCTGGGCAACACACTACCAGACATTTTCCACCTTTGCCCAACTATGTTGTATCTTACTTAATCACTCCGAGACAATATCTAATCTGGATCGAATATACATCAGTTCAAGTATCCACATTGCATCAACACAAAAAAAGGAAATTACCATGATGAGAATCAGAGAGGTTGAAACGATAACAATAACATTGCTGATAGTGAAAGACAAAGTGAAGGCAAACAATTTAGTTGGATGGGACAAATTAACTCGATGGCTCACATTTTGGTTTGAATGTCGGTAATTTTCCCAACTTACTCCCACACCAAAAATCAAAATATGTAGGGTTAAATCATCTTTATTACGTAAAAACAAAAACTTAGATATTTTTTCCGAGAAAACACCTCTATGTTACGATCTCTGAGTGCGTAAAACCAAAACTACTAGAATGCTTTGTAATCACAGTAAATACTTATCACATCTTTAGTTACTTGTTTGTAGAAGATTGACAATTCTATACACTCAGCTACCAGGTGACTTTATGTATGTAGGTAGTCATATATACATCAGACGATGCAAAGTACTCAAATTTTCAGTGTTATATTAAATATTTTTCTCCGAAAAGAAAATAAGTCCTTTTAAGATACACAATCAGCACGCTGGATGTTTAAGATATAGACAAATTCAAGGGGAAATTAAGTGGCAGACACAAATTAAGTAGTCTTTAAGGTCACAGTTCGTTCATCCAACTTCAAACAGATTTCCATCTACAGAAAAGTGTACAGCTGAGCAGAGAAACGCTACAAACAGTGGACTTTCAGTATTTACGTAACAGTACAGTTCATGGGTTTAATCTAAGATTATTGGTCTCGACCCATCGAATTTATTTGAGCTCGCAGAATCTTAGATGTCATATTTACAGCAGAAACAAACACAGGCATACAACGCATTATGAGCTAAATGTTATGCTGTGCATTAGTGTGAAACCTCTATAATTAATATTGTCATAAGTTAAATATTTACCTATTAGCTATTCAATTATGCAGTAAAACCCTAATTCGTTCTTTGACACTGAATTGGAGTATGATCTTTTCATTTTTGGCATCCTAGATGAGTGGAAAACAATTTAGTTTAATTTCATAAAGTTTGTTTCATTTATTGCAAAACGTCACTGACTTAATGACATATCAAGACACAGGTAGAGTCAAATAATTACTTAATACCTTACTTCAATATACCGCTAAGAACTAATTATATCTGAATTACACTTTTTCGCGAGCAAAAACATGTCTACGTTAATGACACGAAATAACGATTCTTAAAAGCTGTACTTTTGGAATATTAACATAGATCAGTCTAAGAAAGCTAACACTAGATAAAAATCTGAAAACAATGACAAGTGAGAACAGTAGTTTATATCGAATTAATGAGATTCTGTATAAAAAATAACGTGCAATCAAATCACTGACAGATATCACAGATTTTAATGAAAACTGTACAATAAATTGAGACAAAAGCTCAAAGGACATCTGCTTAACCTGATAATTATTGTGCAAGGGATACACATTTCTGATAGTTATCATCAATTTTATTTCGTGAAATACTAGGGTCGGTTTCATTATGTGAATGTGAAGATAACAGGGATACTGGGTTGGATCCACGTTTTCGATTACGTTTGCGATGTCGAGGTTTTGAACGCTTAGATATTATATTCGTCGGTTTGAGATTGTCTTGTTTGCATGCTTTATTGTCAAGAGCTTTATTAACACTAGAGTGAATTTCCGTAGATTCATCATCTCCTGCCAACTGGGATGCTAGGTCAGCCTCGAAACCATTTGATATTAAATACTTCAAACGATCGAAGTAGCGAGACCTTGCTTCTATTTCCCAAATACGATTAGACCTTTCCAACCTGCTTGCTGTAGAATATGTATAAAGATTGTATACAGCAGAGATAGGGTTCCCCCTAGGAAAATGCACATGTTTTGGACCATCTAGTTTTCTTTCATTGTGAGAATCACAGGTATGTCGAGCGTCGTTTTCACTGTACAGATGTTTATGGTTTAAGTCATTTACACTGTATTTGAACGACCATTTCCTGTTGACTTCATAAAGTTGTTTGCTTATGAATTTTTTGGGTTCGGTGGAACATGCCTTCGTAGACAAATGATTGTGAGAACCTTCTGGATTTGGCTTTACTATATACAGCTCTGGAGTGTGGATCTGAACAGAAAAAGTCTGTTCCGGTTCATCACTTTCATCTGAGGAGCTTGAAAGCTGGACAGATCGAAAGAAATCAGATTGACCCTGAGGGATTATTGAACGAATAGTTAAATCGAAGTCTAACCCATCTTTCCGCTCCGGAATACTAAAGTTGCCACTACAGTATAGCAAATCGAACAGACGACGTCCATGAGAAGGGCAGACCCAATACTGTCTTTTGATACAGAATTTGGTACTGACTACAGTTATATGATGATAACTAGTCTTTATATGCAAATGCAGAAATGATGCTAAGTTGGTCGCTTTCGTGTCTAGTTTTGATGGGCATTTACGATTTAGATTGAGGCCACGTAAGACTGCTTGAATCGCTCTCGTAAGGCTATGGAAGGGAACAGAAGGGATTGAACTTTTCCGAGGGCTTAGTGCCACAACTGAATTTGACCGAAGTTCGTTGGCAGCAAGTTGGTGATAAATGCGTCTGAACCAGCAGTCCCTACACTGAAGTAGGTCACACAATATTTGAAGGTCAGTGGAGGGAAGAAGCGAATGTGAACCAAAATGAACTGTGGGTCCGACTGACCAGTGTTCTGCCATCTACAAACGAAAAGAATAAGCAAAATGGAACACTGAATAGGAACTAATTGGAAACCAATTAAAGGTATTTTAGGAATAAATATTCTCTTAAAAAACAAGTCACAAGTATTCTGAAACGTATATGTATTCATGAGTATGCAGTTTTTAAATTTTTGCTAGATATCCTGAGATCTTGAGGACACACTTTAGTACGACCGTGAATTTCATACATCAAAACATAGCGTGTGGGTTTTAGTTACTAAGGCTAGTGTTATGTCTTGTTATTGGGGTTTAGTACTGACTACGGTGTTACGAATCTAAGGACAAAAATGATTAAGCCACTCTAAAACAATTGTTTTTTTCGGAACTGACAACAATCAATTATACCCAACGCATGAAACCTCGGTGGTAACATTAGAAGAGATTTTCGCCTTTCCAATGGATTTTGACTATTCTTGCGACAGTCTTAGCATCTAGTGACCACAGTGCAGCTTGATAG